GTGTGTGTGTGGGGGGGGGGGGGGTAGGAGGCTCCTGGGAAGTGTTACAGCCGCCCCCCCTCCCCCGTCTGGCACTTTGGGGGAGTGGGGGGGGGGTAACCCTGGGCAGCGACTTGTGTGCCAAACCCCGGGTTTGGTGGGTCCCAGGAGGCGAGGGCAGCCGCGACCTGGCCGGGATGCCACGCAGCTGTCACCCCGGCCTGCGGGATTTTCTCTGGGGCGCGACCCCGGCCCAGCTAGGGCCTCCGGCACCAGCCACCCCACTCCCCATCCCTGCCCGCCGACTTCGGGGGGCGCTGCTCACAGCCGATGCCGAACGCCAGTCTGCGCGCCTCCAGGAAGACGCTGTCGGGAAGGGGCGGATAGGGCTGTGTTTTGTTTTTTTTTTCTCCCCGAAATCTCCCGACTTTGCCGCGAAGTTTCCGGGTAGGCGCCTCTGCTCCCGGGTTCGAGCCTCCCCTCGCCGCTCCTTCCCCTCCCTCTTCGCCGCCCCGCAAGCCCAGCGAGCCGAGCCTCCCCGGGGTCTGGCTGCCCGCTCGGCGGCCGGGGGTGAGGGGGGGACCATGGGGACCGGGGCGCCCGGTCCGCTCTGCACCCCCTCCCCTCCCCGGGCTCCGCGGGACGCCTCTCCCCGGGGCGGGACTCCCGTCGCCTCCCGAGGAACTCCTAATACCATCCCAGCAGCTGTAATGCGTTTATAATTCGATAAGTGATTTCAATTTGAAATTGTTAGTAACTAATTTTATGGGTGATTTTTCCACATCAAATATTTAAGCATCAGATTAAGGGAGCCAGTTCCGACCCAGGAAAATAAGGGGGTTTCTCTCCCACCCTCGTCTCCTCCGCCTCCCTCCCAGGTTCCTACCGAGTCGTTTTTCCAAATCCCCAAAAGATGGCAGTCGAAGCCGAGATTCTTCTCTTCCTGCGGCCCTGCGAGGGGAGGGGAGAGAGGGGGGAAGAGGGAGGGGGGATAGAAAGAGAGAGGAGGGGGAGGGAGGGAGGGAGAGAGAGCAGAGGGAGAACCTAGGCGATGCATGGACTTTTCAAACTAATTCTCTCACACGTTCCTAGCACCAGCAAGCAGCGGCGGCGGCGGTGAAGTTCCTGGAAATGTCCTGGCAGCAAAGAAAGCCAAGCACACGCGCCTGTGGGCTCCGAGCGGGAGATGCGAGAAACTCAGCGCTTTCAAACGAAACCTCCAGATCAGAACAGAAGAGGGAGAAGGGGACACCGGAGAGAGAGAGAGGAGAGAGACAGACTGGCTTTTTTTGGTTATATTTCTTTGCATTTTATACAAATGATTTAACATTGCATACAAATGCTAAGCAACTAAGCAACGCGTTTCTTCCAAGACAGGACTCTGCAAATTACATAATGGGGGAGGGGAGGAGGATGGGGAGGAGAGGTAGGAGGGGGGAAGGGGATGGGGGGGACTGCTGTGGGCCAGGGGGGGCTGGGCCAGCAGCCGATGAATTGCAGACCAGTTGCCAAACTTTTTTCTTTCTTTTTTTCCTCTTTTTTTTTTTTTTTTTTTTTCCTGCTGCTGCTGCGGCCGCGGCCGCCTTTGCCGCCGCCTCTGCTTTGAATGTGGGTAACTAGGAAACAGCAAGCCGTCTGAGAAGCCGGAATTTCCAACGTGTAAAATGTTCTTAACGGAACCATTGAGCGGGTGCAATAAGGCGTGAGGGGGAACTAATCTTCCCATTTAAATGTTTGTGGCAATTTTATCTAAATGAATTTTAATGCTAAACGAGGGTAATTCCCCATTTGTAGCGCGTTTACTTCTCTTTCCTGCGCCTCTGAAGCAGTCGAACATCATGCGAGGAACAATAACAATAAAAATACTGTCAAGACGTATTATTCATGTCGAAGGTGTTATAATTACAACGGGTTAAATAGGATAGGGGGAACTGTTTTTTGATTTTTGTTTTTGCAAAATATTTCAATCGCACTCAAAAGTGGTCTCGGTCAGCCAGCGCCCCTCCCCCCACAAAATAAAAATAAAAAGCAGGTACAGTTGTGTGCCCTCATTTCGAAGAGGGCGTTTTGTGCCCCCCCCCTTTAAAAAACATCAAAAATCATCTATTATTTCCCGCTTTCGAATAAGTGTCCTCCACAGCCTCAGAGCTGGCTCTGAAATGCACAAGAGGAAGAGCTAAAACAGCCATGGGGAAGGGGGGGGGGGTGCCAGGCAGGGAAAAAAGACCTGCAGAGAGCAAGGCGATCACAAAACCATCACCCAGAGCCCGAGCGCAGGGAGAGAACACAGTTTTGTCTTATTATTTTCCCCCCTAATTCACTGGACAATAATGATCTTGATTTTCAAAAAGCCTCCATATTCCCTAATTCCTCTTCACGTGTACCTTCTGCGCGCATTCTCTCTCTCTCTCTCTCTCTCTCTCTCTCTCTCTCTCTCTCTCTCTCTCTCTCTCTCTCTCTCTCCTCCTTCCTAGCCCTCTTACCCCCTACCTCCTCCCATTCCTTTCCCTCCCCCAACTGGCCAGAGCTTCCTCCAGAATAAAAGGCAGAAAATAACCAACTCACCCAGGCTTGCACTGGGGAGGAGGGGCACACGGATGGCTAGTTTATAAGTTTGTTATTCATTTTTAAAGTAAATAAACGGCTGTTAACGGCTAGTAACCACCTATCAAAAGAGAAGTATTTCACTACTATGGACTATTTATGTAGAAGAATTGCCACTGGGCCCCCAAAGAGGAAATTTAAACAATTCCATTTATGGGGTGGGGGCGGGGTGGAGTGGGGGCGCTGTGCTGGGAGGGGGGGTGGGCGCTGAGGAAGGCTGAGTCTGACCACGTGGATAGACCCAAGGCCCCATAAACAAAAGGTGAGAGTGCGCCCCGCTGCTCCCGCAGGTGAGTCAGTCAATCACACGTCACCTAGTAAAGCCGACCCGCAGCTGGTTTCCCTTTTCCAGCAGAAAATAGAATTGTTCAGGGCGGGTTTATAGAGTGGCACGGGGCCTGGATGTCAGGCTGGAGTTGAAGGCGCTCTCTCTTCCAACCCGTCCTTTGTTTACAAGGCAATCACTGCTTGAAAGCTGATTTCTAAAAAAACGAATTTGCCTTAATTAAAATATTTGCGTCTTTCCCTTAGCTTTGGGAAGCACTTTTATAGCAGCAATTTTATTTAAATAAAATTATAAGCTGTCCCAGCCTAAACATGTTATTTTGTACCATTTAGCTGGCTGCCACGCAGAAATTTTCTGTACAGCTGTTCTGGAAAATGAGCTAATAACCAGTTTTACCCAATGAGAACATAGAGCATATTTATAAAAATTAGATTTTGAAGTCTGGCCTCTTCAATTCACATGGTTAATTTCCTAATAAACATCTACTGCTCGTAGTAGGTAACATCCTTAGTAAAAGACTTAAAGACTTAACTCTGTATTCGGTTTGCCATTATGAGCAAGAAGAATTTCACTGATATTAGATGAGTAATTTTGTTGAATATAATCTGAGTCTACAGTTAGGTTAGCGCCCTTAGGCCTTAAGTTTGCTGATATTTAGGAGTTCATTAAGTCAGCTAAAAGAAATCAGTAACTATTATTCAATAATTTACTTTGTAGTTACAATTTTCAAATACGTATGTATCTTAGGGAGCCAAAATTAATTTTTATATTTACTGCATTGATCATCAAAAAAAAATTTTTTTTGGAGGGGCCAGTAAACACATTTTTCAAGCAGTGGAGTCAGCATGACAAAAATAATCTTGTTTTTATTTTAGATTCAGATTTCATTACTGCACTCAAACGACTACAACTGGACTTGGCGTTATTATACAATCCAAACTGTTTCAGTCAGAAACGCTAAGACTCAGTGTGCAATGATTGTTATTAATAATTAGCTCCTTGGTTTTCTTGATAGAAAAAGGCTATCAACAAGCATTTGTTTATCCACAACAAAAAAAAAGTATAATTAGCTTATCCCACTTAGTAAATCTTGTATGCATGCCAACTCATACCAGACTGCTACTTTTACAAAAGAAAAAAATTGCAATAATACAGTTCATTTTTCCAGTCCTTTTTGCACAAAATTTATTTACAATGTCTACATAAATGCTCCAAGGTGGGACTATGGAAAAATACACACATGACCGATGCTTTGC